TCGGGGCGGAGCCATACAGGGGAGGGGCCAAGACAGGGGCGGGGCCAACGGGGTGTGTGGTGGGGGGGATGTGTGTGAGAGATTGAGAGGCCGACAGACTGAGAGAAGAAGGGGGTTGTGTGAAAAACTATGGACATAGACTGCATGAGGGAGATTATACACGATGAGAGAGGCTGTGTGTATGTATGAGGGACATTATGCGTGTGTAAGAAACCATTAGAGAGTGTGAGACAGACGTTGAGCGTCATTTGTGTGTGTAAGAGAGATTCTATAGAAAAGAAACTGCATATGAGAGATTGTATGCACTTTGGGAGGCCGAGGCGGGAGGATTGCTTGAGCCCAGGAGTTGGAGACCAGCCTGGGCAACCCCGTCTCTACTAAAAATACAATTAGCCAGGCGTGGTGGTGGCATTTTGATTCCAGCTACTCAGGAGGCTGAGGTGGGAGGATTTCTTCAGCCCGGGAAGTCGAGGCTGCAGTGAGCAGAGATCACACCACTGCACTCCAGCCTGGGTGACAGAGCCAGACCCTGTCTCAAAGAGAGAGAGAAAGAGAGAGAGAAAGAGAGAGAGAGAGAGTGTGTGTATGTGTATGCAAGAGACTGTGTGAGAGAGAGATTGTATGAGGGAACAACAGAACACAGAGAGATCAAGTGTGAAAGAGAAACTAGTGTGAGAGAGCCAGTAGATATATTTAAGAGTGCATTTGTGTAAGAGATGAGTGTGTGTGGGTTTGCATGTGAGAGAGAAACACACATATACCCAGTTACACTCTCCAGCAGGGTCCCCTTGTTCTTGCCTGAGTAGCTGCCCATCCTTTTCAAGGAACACACATTTCACTGTCCCTCTTGTTCCTTTAGCCTCCTTTCCTAGTGTCTCACTGAAGGTCTGTGTATTTGTCCCTTTCTGTTGAGTGCTTCCTAGTGTGTGTAGTTTGTTGGAGCCTTGGGTCGTTTGATGGTGTATCAAATGGTGTATCTTTCTATAACTGGGTAAGAATACATCTTTCTCAGTGGGTGGTAAGGGGAATAGATCCAATTTGTAATTCTTTTTTGTACTACCCCATCCATTTTGTTCAAGGAAAATGGAGGGGTGTTTAAATAAAACATACTTTTTTCTGTGTATGCCTTATCTGTACATTGAGAAAGCGATGGGTTATTGTATAGGTAAAATATCAGAAAAGTAAATATGGAAAGTAAACATGTGTACACGTGAAGAAGAGTAAGAGTTATTTGGGACCTTCTATTAAAATGTTTTCAGGCCCAGAAAAGGAATTAAAATAGGCAGAATCCCATAGGCTTATTTTTAAGACCTGTTTCCTGTTTTTTGTAGTCAGGAGACTCTCAGAGTCTTTCTCACACACCCACAATCTTTCATACCCACAATCTCTCTCATACACACATGATTTCACATACATATAGTTTGTCTCATATATATACAACCTCTCGCACACACCATCTCTCACACATAGTTTCTCACACATGCCCTCTCTAATTGTCTCTTCCACAAACAGTCTCTAGGGGCCAGAAAATATGCTGTTGGATATCAAAAATTAGAAAGAAAATGAATCTGGCTCATTCCCTTTCTTAAAAGTCTTTAAAACCCCAGAAGAGAGTATTTAATATTATATACGTATAATCAGAAACAAATGTCACCATGGGAACCCAGTAGCCTCTCTGATGACCTCATTGTTTTTCCCCTAAAGACAACATTTTCATTCTTGGAATTTTGGTTTGGCTGTTAGTAGTGTTTCTTATAAAAACCAACTTTTTTTTTGGCTGGGCGCGGTGGCTCACACCTGTAATCCCAGCACTTTGGGAGGCCAAGGCAGGCGGATCACAAGGTCAAGAGATGGAGACCATCCTGGCCAAGATGGTGAAACCCCATCTCTACTACAAATACAAAAATTAGCTGGGTGTTGTGGCACACGCCTATAGCCCCAGTTACTCAGGAGGCTGAGGCAGGAGAATCACTTGAACCTGGGAGGCGGAGGTTGAGTGAACCGAGATCACGCCGCTACACTCCAGCCTGGCGACAGAGCGAGACTGTCTTAAAAAAAAAAAAATAAAAAAATAAAAATCAACTTTTTTGGATAAAACTTTAGAATTATATACAGCAAACCAGAGAACATCAGCTCTTTATTGCCAACCCCATGAACTAAGGCACATTTTGAAGTTCTCTCTCTTTGCATTTGATTGGTAACTTGATAAGTCAAACAACTATGCACTCTTCAATCAGGCTAAAGTGAGCAGAAATTCTGTATATATAAAAAGATTCAGAAGGCACAGAATATTTATATAGCTGGGCAGGTACAATACAGAAGTTAGCTTTGTTCAGCTTAGGGGACAAGTCTTAAAAAGTCCTTTAGAGTATACTGTCTGGTCTTTTGTAGATTCCGACTTCTTGATTCTTTGAGAAGTGTATTCATTCAGTTTTTTAGCAGGTATTTATTCAACCCTAATAGGCCTTGGGTCCACTCTAAGTCCCTATTCTCTTATTGAACGCTACTAGGCCTTAGACCCAGGTCTAGGTCCCTATTCTTGTGAAGCTTTCATTTTAATCCAATTCTTGTGTTATTTTCTTGGCAGAAGTCAAGAACTTTCACCAAAGAGTAGCCAGAATCCTTAGATCTCCACCTAGCACTGAAGACAGAACCTTTTTTTTTTTTTTCTAATATAATTTACCTTTAGTTTAGTGAGTGAGTTCTTGTTTAAACTGTTACTCTTTTGTTCATAGAGTCTGGTTTTTCCTGGAGATCTGGAGAACCACCTCTTTAAATAAATCTAGCGTTTTACACAAAAGACATTATCCAGATTACATCCTAATCTTATGGGAGACAAGAGCTATTTTCACTCTGCTGCACGATGTGAAAAATATACACATAAAGCTAGCACTGCCAGTTTCCCAAGGGAAATATAAGATTGTTATTACCTAGGCAACTATAACATGTTGCTCTCAAATCATACGTAGTTTTTTTGTTTGTTTGTTTGTTTGTTTTTTGACAGAGTCTCACTCTTCCGCCCAGGCTGGAGTACAGTAGCGTGATCACAGCTTACTGCAACCTCCACCTCCCAGGCTCAGGTGATCCTCGTGCCCTGCCTCAGCTCTCTAAGTAGCTGGGACTACAGGTATGTGCCACCATGCCAGGCTAATTTTTCTGTCTTTGTAGAGATGGGATTTTTGTCATGTTGGCCAGGCTGGTCTCGAACTCCTGCACACAGGTGATCCACCCACCTTGGCCTCCCAAAGTCAAATCATATGGAGTTGTGATTTTATTAGTGTGTTTTGTGCTTTCCCAGAAATTAATAAGTGGCAAGAAACAGATGCATGTCTAAGGAATGGCCTGTCTAGTGCAAATGTGGTTTGTGCAGTTGCTATGGGAACAAGGACTTTTAATTCTTCACTTTCATGCCTTTATTATTTTTAATGTTCTTCTTATTTCATTTGTGCATCTTTCCAGAGGGAGAAACGAGCAAATCAGAGAGTTCTGGACTCAATTGCTAATATAATCTTAGAAAAACAAATGCAGTTATTTGTGGAAACTACCCAAAACTTCATTTGTCGGTTTGAGTTTTGACACACTATAATGTTATTCTAAGCTTCCTTATATGCTTTAATTTTTCTCCTATGATTTTCATCTGCTTCCTTTCTATTTAGCATGGCACAGGGAATTATTTTTGAGATGTTTGGAATATGAACCAAAATTCCAGGAAACTGTATGGTTCTTGCACAATTTATGTAAATTTAGAGGAAAGGAAACTTGGAGAACCCTCACTTCCTTTAGTGTTCTTTCAGTTTAAGGAAGCTCTATTAGCTAAAACAATGCTCTATTAATGCTCTCTTTCCTTCCCAGGCAGTCCATTCTGATTGGGAGAAGGAAAAATTTGCTCTTTCTGTTGGAATTAATTTTTGTTTTATTTTTTGAGACATTTAGAGTCTTGCTCTGTAACCCAGGCTGGAGTGCAGTAGTGTAATCTCGGATCACTGCAAACTCCACCTCTTGGGTTCAACTGATTCTCCTGCCTCAGCCTCCCAAGTAGCTGGGATTACAGGCGTGTACCATCACACTGGCTAATTTTTGTATTTTTAGTAGAGATGGTGTTTCACCATGCTGGCCAGGCTGTTCTCAAACTCCTGACCTCACGTGATTTGCCCG